GCTGACGCGATCGGGGGATGGAATGACCAATTTTTGACGAGACACTGTAGGACGGTACGACGACGGACGGGGTGAACGGCGGATTCGATTCCGGATTTGACGGGGCAATCGATGCGTTCTAATGAAACGTTTCGGAGGAGGCTCATTGGAGGACGTTCAGGCGCGAACGTTGATCCATGGGTTCTGAAACGTTGGTCTTTTGCGAATGATTTAGCGGCAGACTTTATAGCGGCTGCTTAACGATCAGCTGGGAATGAAACGGAGGGACTCGGATGATCGATTTTAATTCACGGTTCGCGTTGACGCCGCGATTGTATCGGAGCAAATATTCTAGTTGCAAAAGCGGTGGTCGATTAAAACACTCTTTGGCTGTATCGTAATAGCACCGTCGATTTGATTCGAATTCGATTAAGACGTCGTTTTTGCGCGTCCAATAATTTAGCGTTATGATTAATGATGCCGGTATCGATAACGTAACTGACGGGATCGAATTATATTTCATGGAACTTCGTTATTTCATCGATGTAAGCTAAGCGGATTGATTAATGAGACGTGAATTAATATCGTTCTCAATCTATCGACAAGTTCTGCTTTGATATTGAATTAAGTTACTTGCGACAGACAGCGAACTCTGGTGATCGCAATCGTTAACAACGGTTTCGTTTCACGATTTCGTTAGTATCGACCATGGATAACACGATACCACGGTCGCGCCTTTATAATTCGATTCTTAGCTAAATGTCTCGATAAAGGAATTAATTTACATATTTAATTATTACTTGTTAGACATATATAAAATACCTTTGTAAAACCAAGAGAAAGATTTTGCTTTTTTACAGAGTATAGAATTACGTCCCTACCGTTGAAGTGGCGTCACTTTATTTTCTCATAGACACAGTATCTACTTTTTTCCTTGCCGAACGTCATCCATGCGAATATTGGATAATTGCGAAGCAACCAAATCATTGCTAGTAAGAAATAATTAAATCCCACTCTCACCACTGTGCCGATATATGGCACGTCTGCAACACGAAAGGAATTTTATAAGGATTTAAACTACGTATGTCGTTTTGACATTGAAATACAAGCGTGACTAGTGTTTGCGAGTAACAAAATTGGCGGGTTGCGAATTTCCTTTTAATGAAAGGCCATAAATAAATTATGTAGAAGACATCACTTACTGCAAAGGTACAAGAAGCACTCGCGCTGATAGTAATTGAAAGTGGCATACCATCCGATCGGCTTCGGGTCTAAAAACAGAAAACATCCTAATCGTATTGGCAGAAAGAAGAATGTTCAACCGCGAAAGTGAAACTCACATTTCAACCCACTCATCTCATACATCAACCTATAAAACGCATCTTTGTTCAAGTTGACGTCGATGTAAAAGAAACCATCGACCGCGTTGCTAGCCAACTTTATAAATCCTTCTGAAGGATTATTCAAATTCTCTATAAGTATGTTCTCTATTATTCCTTTACATAATTCTCTGGTCTCCGCCGGTGTTTTACGAGCGATGTTGAATCTAAAAATACGAAGAAGATTTTTCACTGTTACGATGGTCCAAAGTCAGTTATTCTATTCAAAAATCTACACCGCGCCACGTTATGTATAATTTTGGTTTTAAAAAGGTCAATTATATCGATAAATAGTATTTCTTCACTTTGATGTAATTACCGGTCGGATATACCCAAAAGATGTCCCGTGACTCGCCAGAAATGGTTGAACGCTATCATATCTTCCTTGGAAGCGTGCGCCAGTCCGACGCGGTCGGGGCACGTCAGTATGTATCCCATGAAACCGAACTGCGTGATAGCCATGTCCTTTTGGTATATCGCATTCAACCCTTGTTTGACGCGTCTTCTACTAGTTGTCACGTGTCTCCATCGGATCATGTTCATCGCTTTGTACCAACTTGAACGCAGTAACAGTTCCGGTAACTATTATAATGAGAGAAACCACGAGGAAAATGTAAGAGCACGCCCAAGAAACTTACGACGAATTTGGGTCTAGTATGTCGCATCTGAAAAATTCGTATATAAGCAGGAGCGTTTCTGCGTACCGCTTGAAGGATAGACACACCGTGTCGCTCCTCTTCGTGTACTCGAGCACCTGTGAGATCAAAGATTTAGACGTTTCTTAAAAATGGTGGGAACAGACCTCGATCTATTTGGTTTAGTTACCTCTATTATATCAGGGACGGATAATATAACCATTAAACCAGACGTTTGTGCAACTGCAAATGCCAGCATGTTATTGAAGTAAAATTGCTGTGCTCTGAAATTGTAAATTTCTTACGTTATATTGTGCATTCGTTTCTAATTAAGAGGTTGGCGGAGAACAGAAAAGTTACAAGTTTACATAACTGTAATTTGTAACACTTCGAAATAACACATGTCATTAAGCTGTTAGATAACATCGCGAAGATAAATTCGTTGTTAAATTTAACTTTGTTAAAACGTTTCGACGGATTGATAAGATTATCTAAAGTGTTTATACGCTTATAGTCACGGACTCATTAATTACGTACACTTTTACTAATTTTGTTTTGTCGACGTAGGTTTGATTTACTCACTTTTTATACAGTTTCTCGTCGAACCACTCAGGTAAATCCTTCGGAGTGATCTCAATAAATTCAGTTTCCGTGGGGGATTTATCCTCCGAAATCAGTTTGAGATGTTCTTCCACCGTGGGTGGTTGAACTGTCAGAAAATAGAAAGTAAAAGTATTGTCGAACAATTTTCATTATTCGATTCGGATTGCACAGGAAAATAAAAAAGGAGTTTCTTACCATCGTCAATGTGTTTTGCAGCTTTCATTCTTTACTTCGAAACGACTACTGAAATGAGTACGGAGAACGTTTATTTAACATAACTGCCGGGTATTTCATGAATGATTGAAATGTGTAGAACGCCGAATCTAAACAACGTTATCGGGTTTTAGCTAAAACTTGCAATTAGCACGATCAAAATGACTTTCATACTGTATAGATAGGAATTGTAAAAATAGAATTTCGTTTAAGTCACACAACATCATTCCAGGAATGACGGCTGTTTCAATTAGTACATCAACAACATGTCTCTCTATGAACACACAAGTTCATTGCTATTACAGTCTATTAAACAAGTAAAGTAATAAGCTAAGAATTCTATTCCCTTGATCTTCTAATTTTTCAAATAAACTTGTGAATTTTATGAAAGAACTATACTCTATGAACGTTTCACTGCTCACTGTCATTGTTTTCCATGGTTATTCATTATTTCGTATTTATTTCCCTACTTACACGTGGTAAGAGAAGACAATCACTGTGATTTAGTGAATAACGCAATACGCATTATATTACAAAACTAATCCTTCCACAAGGTTGGGACGCTTCACAAAATGATCGTGGAGGTAACCGGGAACGCAGCGAGGAGAATGCGGTTAGTAGATGCGGCCGTCCACCGCTGCGCGCTCGTCGGGACTGACTCGTGTATGATCAATTATCATTAATCCCACTCACTTGCAGAATTTGCTGTCTCCGGCCAACTGCGTTCACGTAACCACACTTCGAGACTGGATTGGTCCGATGCCATCCGAAACTATGACGAAAACTCTTTCCGATAACGGTACAGTCGTACCTGTGAAACTTTCTCTTGCTCGTCGGTAATCTTATCAAAAATTGGTATTCGAATAAATTTCTTTTGTTGGTATTTCGTCAAGTAAGATTACACAATTTTTAGCTCTACGCGCAAATGACAATTACACAACGGGTAGCTTAAACTTCTAAGGAGTATTGCGTTGTACGATTGAACTGAAAACAATTCCAATAGATACTTATTTTTCATTGTTTATTGATATTATTAACTTCCCTGGGCCTTCGTGCTTATCTAGTTTACAAGCTATCAATTTTTGTGTGTCACAAACATAAGGAAGTTCGAATTGTAATATTCATGATAAAACGTAAATACTCATGATAAGCATGTAATAGAAGGTCATCCGAACAGGTACACGGATCCAAAGTCCTGACGATTTAATTGCTTTAAACGTTCCAGTTGACATTTGCAGAGGACGCAGTGTGCCTGCCGAAGATAGATGAAGAGAATGGAATTTTTGTCAGTGCGTGACCTTTTGTTGTTGTTAACTGCGGTTTTCTTTTATATTTTTTGATGCGACGTCAATGCGACATCGCAGTGATATAATTCAAGGTCATATAATTGCAACGCCCACAAAAGGTCATTCCTTTGGATCTGGCCTTACTATGAACAGTATTCTACGTACTACAGTAGATGTTGATTGTTATCTTTTATTAATAACGCGATGGGTTGAAGATTAAATTAAGAGATTTCTACATAATTAACATTCTATATCAGTTTTCTGAAATGCTTAATATCTTTGTCATCGTACTTGATAACACTACTTATTCCTCACACTCCACATTAACGAATTTTACTACTATTAGGCTATAGATTAATGTTTCCTATTTCATTAAAATTGAACTTTCGATTGAACTTTGAATTAAATTGAACTCAATGCAATTTATCATAAGCATCAATGTATAAATGATTGAAATCAGGATAGGGATCTTTCAGTGCCGTGTTCGGAAACCGTGAAGAACTTCTCGCCACTTTTTCCCGTGGTTTTACGTTTATCGTTGATGGTGCGCAGAATATGGCGAATCGAGGTCGCTCTTGCTGCACATCTCAGTTCCAAATAAAACACAACTGCGGCTGCTAAAGATCCGAAAAGGAGAAAAAAGAATCCGGCTGCCAGGGGAGTCAGTCCAAGAACTTGCACAGTTCCGTCGTATCTATCGTGTTCAACGAGAACTTCGCGAAGATTACGACTATCGTGTTTGTGGGAGACGTGATTCAAGTGCCTGTCTACGATACCATTTTCCCTTAACGACAATAGTACCTGAAACGAGTACAAAAATATACAGTTTGTCCTGCAAACGGAGCATCCTGCGAGATTTCTGAATTAAACATAGTACGAGAGTATTCTATAAAACCAGTTCCACGCCTGTTGTTTAATCGAACACTCTTATGAGTCAATTATTATAAAAACACGGAATAATAATAGCAGAAGTATTATATAATGTTTATACATTCTACCTTATCTGTAGCTGCCAGAAGCCACGGTTGCACAGCAAAAGCTGTATGAAAATATCCAATGAAGTTCTTCATGACTCTGTAATTCTGTCATCGAACAAAATTAGCAGTTGACGGTGCATAGTTTTATTTCGGTTTTCTTTCACGTTCACGTTCTACGTTAGAAAACTTTATGATAATTAATCGCGTACCTTCAATGAGTCATCGGGAACGTACTCTTCCGGGTAGAAATATCTACCGATCATTTTCCCGAGAACACCGAAGTTACCTCTCATCGTAAGCTTTCTCCATTCCGCAAAACTTTCCACGTGACGATACCTGCTCGGAAGTTGCAACGAGAAAGGGTCCTGCAAGAATCGCGCATAATTCCTGACGAGATCGCGATTTAAAAGCTTTCAAATCTGATTCATGTTGTAACGTCGTTGCATCATTATTTTCATTGTTTTGATCAAATTACGAAGTTGAAAGTATCCGTCACATTAAACTTAAAATACAAACTAAATTCCGCTTGCTTTCTCTTCATAAGTTAATGCTCCAGCAATAAAACGATAAATTTTTAATTGGACTAAATGGAATTCAAGTCTGAAGGGGTTGATCGAACATAGTTGAACGCACCGTGGGGTCGACATAGTCGTTGAACGGCGGTGCCTGACCCATATTTCCCCATGACAGATTCATCCTGACGAATTGTTCAACGGTATCGATTCTGGAAACGCATCAACGACCATCGAACTTCGCTTTACATCGTTCGCAAAATAACACGAGTTTGACAAGCTTTTCCTGGCTATTACCTGCTCTCGTATTCCAAAGTTGCCAGTCTGGCTGCTAGGCTGCTGCAATAAGCGGTAATTATTAACCATCCCGTGGTCTGCCAGAGAAGTATCTCGAGTTTGTTGTGCGCGAGAGTTTTCGGCACGAAACTGCTCAGGAAACAACCGATCAGGTCGGTTAGGGTAATTATGTAATTTCGGTGACCTGATCAATAACGGATAAAACACAATTAACATAATCGTCATACGGATGTAGTGCTCATATACTGTCCCTTCTATGAAAAGATATAGTGTCACAACTCGAGTGACTTTTTGATCTAACAACCTGATAAACATAATAATTTCGATTGTACACGATACAATCGTTTCACGATAAACACGATTGATCTGTTGTTGTCATTTGAACACGCGATTGAAACGTATTAATCCCTACAATGTTTTATTCCCCCTGCTTTCGTCATTTTAACGATTCAGGTTTCTTCTATAATTACTTTAATTTTTTCGTCCCTCTTTACTTTCCAGTTGTTTTATTCGTTTCGCTGAGGTTCGTAACATAATGTCAAGATTAATTGCATGAATCGGAATTAGAGAATACTATTTTTGTCGTCCGCAACGTCAGCAGTTTTTAATACACTCCGGCAAAACGAGAAAAACACCTAAAACATTAACATTTCACATTTTCATACGCACCAGCTCAACGTAGTTTCGCAGAGTTTACCGCCTCGTTTAATTCGTTTTAGAGGTTGAAATTATTATTTGATGCATCGCGATGGCCACTTTACTATGCGTTAATCAGATACAGGAGACATAAAATTTTCTATACTTAGCGGGGCAGAAATTACACAGCCCGACGTGCATGTGATGCGCTCGTAGAATCGATATCGCGAACTTACGTTTCGGAAATTTCGGATCGATCCAGGCGCGAACACACGTGTACAGGCTGAAGAGGATTAACGTGAACGCGAGCAAGTACCACACCTCTGCCGAGAAGGGTTTGACGATCGCCCAGAAGCTTGTGGCTCGGCGTGGACGGGGAACTAAAATGTGTACGAACATTTGGTACCAAGGTACCGAGAAGTTGGTAAATCTGAACTGAGTGTGCGTCATCCATATGCTACCGAACGCCATGTCCGCCTAAATGCAAAAAACACAAGACTAACGAAACGAATAATCTTCTCGAAACGATAGACAGAGTAGACCTAGGGGAGTCTAATCAAAATATCGCAAATTATATTTCTCACTTTTCGTTTCTTATCGTCGAAAGAAAGATTTTTAAATTCCTTTTCATCTTTTATCGTTAGCATTCAAGTATTTTTAATTCTTTACCGTCAAATAGAAAATGATTCAATTCGCCTCGGTCTACCATACTATCCAAAACAAATATCGATTAATCGAAATTAATTAAATCGGTGGTCTCACTTTGTTCGTAGACAACATTCCTATCATACCACCTTCCCAGAAGGTGTCGTTGATCTTGTGTCCGTATCTATGAAGAGAGTAAAGTTAATGTAATCGTACCGAATGTGATTCCTATTGATACTTGCGTGTAGTTTCCTTCAGGTTTCATTACGGTCCAAGTGAAATTCAATTTCTCCGCGATGTTTAGGAACAGTAGCATTTCTACGCCGTCCCAGTCTGATGGAAAAACATGTATCTTAACAATTAATCAATTCAAAACAGCGACAGCAAATAATATTTACTGTCATCGACAACGTAGACGTCCGCTTCCTGGTTGTTTACAGACGTTTTGATCGTATGATTCCAGAAAGTCATCGGCGGCCGATGTATACTGCAGATTCGGAGCATTCTGCCCCGAAAGTCGATTTTATCGTAATTGTGTATCATTTCTTCGTATCTGTTTGTTCACGAAAATTACGTTCAATTTGGAACGCGATGCATCATCTTCAATGCAGGTGCGCACGTACCTGTCCAATTTCCTGAACTCGCGAGGATTTAGATAATTTTCTGACAGCTTCCACATCCCGGACATCGAGACCACGTTCACGTTCGCGATTCCGTACAAGGAGCGGTTAAGCACACCGGAATCGTCGGAAGTCTGGTTGTTCACGATGACGAGGATCTCCTTCGTTTTCCATATTAACGGTGATATTCTGCATCGAGAGGAAAAATGATCAGTTAAATTTCACCCGAAGGTTCTATTTCAGCCGTTGTTATACTTTTCAATCAGCCCGAGGATTTCCGCGTCGCTCGATCCCAGCAAGAGGTATCCGTCGCATTCGTAGGTGCTTCGTTTCAAGAGGTACTCGTACGGATAGACACTTCTGAATTGGCTGAACAGTATCTCCGTGTCTCCGATCGGCGCTGAATAAAATTTCAGAATCAATACGGAATGGAACCTTCTTAACCCTTCCACCAACCGATAAGAATGATTAATCCTTCTAGGAAAATATTGCATATCCATAACTGCATTTCATTGGTGCAGAAAGTATAATTTGAGACGTACATCGCGTTTCTTTTAATATATCTATCGCTTCTCATTTATAGAAAAGATTAATGCATATGAAACTTTCGGCAGTTATCAAGACATAGGTATAAAAGGTAGAAAACAGTTTTCTCATTTGATCTCTTTTACCCAGGAGTAATATTATAATAAGTGTATTCTCTGTTAAGTATCCGAATGCATCCTGTAGTCTTTATACTGTGCAATCAACGAACATTCTGTTTTATTTCACCAACCGTTGAAAAAGATATTGCAGCATAGAGAGAAAGGGAACGACAGTTTAACAATAATCCCGAGATCCTTGTCGGAGATCCAAGATTGATTTTCAGGCAGGAGTATGTCGGTTCTTTTACCGAGCACCGGAAGAAGAAGTATCTCAACGACATGTAGCGCGAGGATGCTCTTCATGGTGAACCATAATCCTCGGAAACAGGCGTCACTTTCTGTGTATCGTTTAATGACGTTATGTTTCGAGCAAACACCGATCCCTCCGCGGACCCGAGGGAGAACCCTTTGTTTATCCTTCCGATTGTCGATCCGTCGATCTCGACCGTGAGACTTCTCGTTTTCACGGAGCTCTGTGTGTCAAGAGCACGCAAACTGGGAATAATATTTCCCGACCTGCGTGTATGATTCCATGCAGGCGATTAACGCGAATATCGCGCGCATGCAGTCCTGCTGGACTCGTGCAGAGTATCGTCCATACGAGCGCAATTTTACAGTTCCGACTGCATGCGGACATGGACTGCTCAAGGTACAATTTGATGACAGATACGGATTATGATAAAGAAGGCGGTGTAAATGGAATTATAGCCGCCTAATCTAATCTACTCCGTAACACGCCCTGTATTTTTTGCGTTCTTCATTTGAAAAGAAGGTATATTTTTTAATAATATCTTTGTTATCTGAACAAACATTGCACCCTCCTGTTGTGCATATTACGAGAATCTGAATTAATCTCCTAATCGCTGGATGGTAAGATTTTTAAAAATTTGAATTGTTAATCATGTTTGTTCTTTTTATTTTCACCTTTTACCATCTTTGCGTAGAGTACATTTACAATTTACATTATTCCGTATGTTTCACTCTTAATTACATTTTTTTCTATTATCTCTATTTCTGCACATCTTATCTCTATTAACGCTTGTGTGGTTGTTGCCAGTCATTATTGGAATGACAAACGCTTCGTCTATCGCGGGAATAATGCTGCCATAATGAACAAAGCAAACACTGTCTTCTTTCCTTGTTCTACCAGTTGTAGGTGACTTAGTGATGCTCGTTTAAATTTTACGGAAATCTGCTCAGTTTAATCCCACTGCACAATCCCTACTCTTCGCCTACTACTCACTGTTTCAAGGTGAGTGTAACGTCAATCTAGTAAGCACGGACAGAAACGTAATACAGTGAACGGGAGGGAAACACATACTTTAATAAGATACCGCGAACATAAACAACAATCGTACAGTGCTGGAAATTTCAGTTTCAGTAATTTCAAACTTACCATTTCAAATGTAGTACCGATGGGTTGTTGACATTTCGCTGATTAAAATGAAGCCAAACACGCCACTTAATGTCATTAATAACATTAAGTCGGTAAAACGAGGCCGATTTACGTCGTAGTTGGACTTATTTTAATCAGAAAAATGTTAACAATCCATTGGTACTAGATTCGAAAAGATAAGGTTAAAATTCAAATTTTCTTCATTGATTGTTTGTGTTTGACGCGTGCGGCATCGCTTTGAACCCACGTCTCGACCCTCGATGCTCGTTGAACTATGTCTGTCCCGTTTCCGCTCACTCTATCGATTCTCTACCTTTGTCAGGCTGTGCTCGAGTCACTTTCTGGCAGCAAATAACTTCCTCCTGTTTTTCTGATCGGTTAAATTCCACAACTACGACCCAAAATTGTGGAATTTAAAGAGCATTACGTATGTATTTACGAGTAGGTCAGTGCATAAGAAACAGATACCTTGACCATTCGAATTACCGAAGGCCGCTCAAATGAATGTAGTAGCTATCAACCCATTTACATCATAACTTGAAATATGTTACTAACTTCATACAGTTCAGATGTGTCACTGATAGTCAGCCCGTATCACCACACGAAATTGTGTGTAATAATTGGAACAAAAGGCAGTAATATATATTTGTGCATTTAACAAAAGTAACACTTGTTGAGGACACAATGAACAGATCAGAAGATGCTCGCAGATTGATAATGAAAAGCGAACCGCATTGTACGCGTAATATTCTGCGTCCAGTGATAAATAAAAGTCGCGGCTCGCGAGACAGACCGCGCTTGGTGATAAGTGGCGATTGTCAAATGGATTAGTCAATAAAAAAACTCATCTATTAATTATTCCATATATCTACGCAGTTGACGTCATTTCGTGCTTCAGAGAACACTACATTGCATAATACCGATAAAAGCTACACGAGAAGCGGTGACTGCAGAAAATCAGCTGAACTTATCTGTACGATATCGTTCATCATTGTAACACTTGCGGTAAATATTATTCACGTCCCGATGATCTCAAATAGTTCCTCTCCGTGCCTCGCGTAATCAGCATTACGGCTCCAAAGAACTTTCATTCGTCAATTGAGCACACAAAAATAATTCCTTTAGTCTAAAACCAGCCCTACTTATCAATACACATTCAAATTAAATACCGTCTTAATTAGTAATTCACTCGAGCGACGCGAGTATTCGAACGCCGTAGTACGAAGCAAACTGTCTGGACAAGTCAATATATTTCGGAGCATTTTCTTTCTAGAATGAGTCTGTTAACCTCACGTATGGCGTTCGCGATTCATTCCACCGCAGGTAAGTTCACTTTGCAGAGAAAATATTTTACTCGGGATACTGATTAATTTAAGACCTTTCAGGCATCGGTAATTTCTGACATTTATTGTTCAGAACAAACAAGCATGACTGAAAGAATAACCACTCTTCAACGTTACTTCTTAAACGATCTGAAAAAGAGACATTTTTTAATTGATGTAATTACCGAAATGATAATGTTATATATTCTAAGTGTTAATGGGAATTAATGTGTTTTATGAAATTTTTCTTTACAATTCAGGAACAAGATGCTTCTCGGAAGTCGGGTTCATCGGTTTGGGCAACATGGGCAGCCACATGGCGAAGAACCTGTTGAAGAAGGTAATCACTAGTACGAAATTCCTTGGAAGTTGAACTTCATTTGCCAATGTCCACGTTATAGGGTCACAGATTGACCGTTTTCGACGTTAACAAAACGGCCGTGTCGAATCTGACGAAGGCAGGTGCAAACGGCGCTTCGAACCCTGCTGAGGTAGCGAAAGACGCTCAGGCGGTTGTCTCTATGTTACCGTCCAATCAGCACGTTCTGGACGTCTACGACGGGGAAAACGGAATATTAAGGTAAATGCAATACTGTGTTTCTGTCACTGACAACTTTGAACCGTGTTATTATTTTCGGTCGTCCCGGATGAAGACCTCGAGCTTGTTCTGAAGTTCTTCATCCTTTCAGTTCAGCGAGACCGAGTACTCTTCTCATTGATAGTAGCACGATAGACCCTTTTGTGTCCCAAACGTTAGCGAAAAAGGCTGAAAAGTGCGGAATTAGATTTACCGATGGACCAGTCTCTGGAGGTACAGTATCATAATTGATCTTCATTCGAATATTGATTCTGAAGTGTGTTGCTTTGAAAGAGACTTAAAAACGGAAGAAAATATTATTGGTGATTCGGTACAGTTTGTATTAGAGATTCTCAGAGAAGGAACAAAGATTTAAGATATTCAATTTTGTTGTGCAGGCATAAACGCAGCCAAGAATGGCACGCTGACGTTCATGGTAGGAGGTTCCGAAGAAAATTTTGAGCTGGTTAAACCTCTCTTAGAGGGTATGGGTACCAAGATCGTTCATTGCGGGGACGTCGGAATGGGACAAGCTGCAAAACTGTGCAACAACATGCTTCTGGGTATTAGCATGATCGGCACTGCAGAAGCTTTTAACCTTGGCCAAAAGTAACACGCAAAAGAATTAACAAACAGTACACGTATATCTACTTGTTTCATTAAGCTGATTGTCTTACAGGCTGGGGCTTGACGCGAAGGTGCTGGCTGAGATTGTGAACTCGAGCTCCGGTAGATGTTGGTCGTCGGAATTATATAATCCTGTTCCTGGAGTCCTCGAGAACGTCCCTAGTTCTAAGAATTACGAGGTAGAACGACCACTTATTTTTTCATGCTTTTAAATGTTTGAATTTCGAAGTTTCCACCTGAAACTTCGTTGGACAGACTTTCGGTTGAAGTAGCGTATCTAAAATGAAGGGTACAATTACAGGGTGGTTTTAGTACAAGTTTAATGACGAAGGATCTAGGACTGGCGCAGTCTGCTGCAACTAAAGTAGAAGCAACCATTCCTCTGGGCTCTCTAGCAAATCAGATCATGAAGGCGATCATGGCACAAGGATTTTCGGATAAAGATTTCAGCTACGTGTATCAATTCTTAAAGAGACAAAAGTGATATTTTGTAACAGATTTTTCGTACTCATGTTTTAAACCTTTTACGTTGATCTCTGTCTTATGTTGTTTGGTATTCGTTCCTATTTATCTTTAGTACAAAAAAATTAGTTTTACGTAAAGCGCTCAAACTTTCCGTACCGCTAAATGTGTTAATGAAAAATATGGGTGTATAGAGGGCACTAGGAGACAGATAGTTTCTGAAACATCGGTAACGATGGAAAAAATATAAAATTGCAAAAAACTGTTGAATATTACTTGTAATGCTAAATAACACGTCAAAGGTTTATCAAATATGAAAAAGTGGCTACAAAGTATATCATTAAGTTTTATATTGGAACATTAGGATCCTACCTTATCGGTAGAGTTTCATGTCGCGTATATTTCGTTTCCTAAGGCTTCGTTTATTCAAAACGTACAAAACTAATACGTCTATTATTCATTAATCTAACCGAAATTCCAGTACCGGTAAAATGAAATTATTCAAAAATCCCTGCACTTCGCGTTATTACATTGATTAGAGTGGTATCCGAAACTCTTCAGCAGTTCAAACATTTGCCACAGAAAGTACACTCTCTACATGTTTCGCCATGCAACGTAACCATCCGATATACACTTGTTACGACGATCGTCCAAGCAATTCGATCATTTCAAATGCAAACTATCTATTCCATAGTAGTTGTTCGAACATATCAAGGATTCTCCAGCAGCCCTGTATTACCGACACAGCTGCGCATGGATGGTCAAATTTAGAAATAATAAATGTACATTACAAATGTCTGGAAAGCGATAAGAATGGGAGCCATATTACACGCTCGATTATAAAATCCGCGCGAGAAGCGTCTCAGTTAATTTTCGCGTGCAAAAACACGCGAGAGTTGCGATTGAAAATAATCGGGCGCTCGTTTGACTAGCACGGTACCCCACCATTACTGTCACTCAAGGAGTTTTTGTGGCTAGACGAGGACGAGAGGGCAGTGCAGTTTGGTGCGGCTCTGTAGCACCCGTGCAGTTCGAGCGTTTCTGTTGGCGTGGATTTTTCTTGATCGGTCGTGGTTGTTCCGCCAGATCCGAGAGCCGTGGACCGATCGCAGTCGCGCAATCATCGCCGATTTTCCGAGGATCGCCCCCAGACGTGTTTTGGGCCGCGCTGATGTGTCCTTAGTGTTGCACGTGTTTCTTTACGTACGCGCAGTGTTTCTGTGAGGGACAAGGGGCCGAGATACACACGTACGCGGAACTGCGCCGTAAAGGAGGGACAGAGAGAGGTACGAACGAAGAAGAGGAGGACGAAGAAGTAGAAGATGAGCAAGACGTGCGCCCGCTGCGAGAAAACGGTCTACCCGATCGAGGAGCTGAAATGCCTCGACAAGGTACGTTTCCACGTTCCACGAGTTTTCAAAGTTACTCCCACGGATCCTGCGCGGTGCGATCTCGGACGATCCTATGTCCCGTTCGGGACGAGTATTCGGGACGTATTTGAAAATTCGATTCGAAGTTTGACTACGTTCGATACGATCTCTGCGTCTCGAGGTTAACTTCATCTTGACGGTGTGCGCTCTTTATCCCGCGGCGTCGTGGGATTTTTAATTACAGTTCCGTGTAATCCAACGTTCGCGTGACTGACAAGGAAAGTCATGTACAAGAAGACATTTAATTCGGAATTTTCATTTTAAGAAGTTGGTGTATTCGTGAGATATAATGACGTATGCAAAGGGTAACGCTACTTTTTGTGAAGAGTTACTTTAAGGGATGAGACCAACCCTTTCACGTCTTTCAAATTTTGTAATTATAGAGAACGGAATAAAATATCTAATGAGGTTTAAAGAACGTTTATAAAAAGGATGATTCATGTGAATATCCACAACCTAATAATCAATTATCCCACGGTAAATTAATTAAAACTCTAAATAATGAAAATCTGGTATGCCGAACAATCGTCTTCCTACTTGTCAATGAAAACACACCCTGAAGTCTCATTGACTCCTGCTTCCCACGTAGCTTAGCGATTCTCACCTGGTACAATAATTATTTTGCCCATTGTTATGCGAGATCCGTTACCGGCGAACCTTGTGCTTCGAAAATTAAATCGTAATCTTTGATGGTTAGATAAGATTTGTCTATTATCACGGCTCGTTGACGAAATCAGCTTGCCCGGAGCAACAGCTTGTCGATCGACCGTGGTTGCGTCGGTCCAACGAGGTCCTTTCTCCTATTCCGTTTGCACCGTGGGCTTCGGGAACGTCCTTTTTCTCCGAGGATCCTTTGAGACCGATCCCGCTGCGCGAGCGGATCGCGTGGAACGGCTCGCCGGACTTTTTGCAGCAGATCGTAGGATGTACCGTTCCCGTTCAGTTCCGCTTGCTGAAGCGTCTTATTCCATTCGACCAGATGTAATTGTCTGCCGCCTTGCTCGACCTCCGAAAATTCTCATTCTTCTCCCATTTAACTCTTTGCCGTATGACGACATGCGGATAATTTATAATTCGCTTGAATAAATATTAACCCTTTGCACTCGGCAGTTTATCACTAGAAATATTTAACATTGTTTGACAAGACAAAGACGATATTCTTTGTAACTAACTCGAAGGGAAATTACAAGCATACCGAAGAACGAAGATATTTTATTCCAATATTTCACATATCGAGGCATTATACAAAGTTAAACATTAAATATTAGATTTTATAGTTTCACTGCGTCAGATCAAGCGGTGACTAAGAGTGCAAAGGGTTAATATTATTCGTTACACGTAAATCGATGTGAAAGTCTTCCTTGCTCGACCTCCGAAAATTTTTCATTCAATGGGTCAAAATGACCCATCCGTGAATTGTTCTTTTACAATTATTGAAAAGATAGCAGATGCTTCTTTGCGAAATTACTGAATTGACTTAGTAACACGGAAATTGAATCATAAGTCAATTGAAATCTTAATAGTTGTAGTCTTAGAGTCCCTACAGAAAAATTTGAAAACTTCAATGTAAATGCTCGGTAGTTCTAGTGTTAATTAAACCCTTTGCCGTATTACGATATGGGGATAATTTCTAATTCACTTGAATAAAAGTTAATATTATTCGTTACACGTAAATCGATGTGGAAGAATATTTTACTGTCTCTTCACAAGTTTCACCTCATATAAATGTTCTTTTAGAGATGACCAGTTATTAAATTTTCAAATTGATTCTAAAATACTTTCACGGAAGATTTTAGTACGGTTCAGAAATGACCTGGCTCCATCCGCAGGTCCATCTTCCGGGACTAAAACGCTTCGAAGTATAGACGAGGTTCGTTGTGTGGACCTCTCTTCCCCGAATACTCTATTATTCGAGTGTTCTATCGCTCGAACAGAATATATTCTTTATTTCACCGAAGTACTCAATGAACGTTATTTCATTGGTAATGTGCTACGTAGTATAATATAAAGTATAATTCAAACAACATTTTTAGTATATGATAAGGTTCGTAAACTAGAAACTATGTAATTCATATAATTTTTTAAGCTGTAACCCGTCGAATGTCTTTTCATTCGATTTTAAACTTTTTCAGTAGAATCTATACTTTCTTAATCCCTTTTCATTTAGTCACGTTCTTATTTTTTCAAGGATAATTTTGAATCTGAGAAAAATGCTGTAAAAGTAATAAAAAAAAAGATTAATATTGAAACTCTGATTTCTATTTGGTAAATAATATTTCTATTGGTAAACCGAGGACCGTTGTAGTGTTAGGAAAATGTTAATTCTCCATGCAGCAGCTAAAAGGGTTGAAGGGCCGCTGTCGATGTCTTTCTAGTAACAACCCAATCGTTGAAGTCTTTGTGAAAATGCCGCTGTCCGGTTGCAGGGCTAGTAGCCGCATCAATGGTAACGAACTCGACACGTGCAGTTCCCTACAGTGACGTACGCGAAACGCTTCCGTCGAAACGAACCCGTTAACAACGTCGTATCGCCGCAGAGCTGTCGGATGCGACTTTAAAAACGCGTCATCCTTATATTTGGAAGCGGAATATCTGCTAGGAAGTCAAATATTTGCGCTACTCGTTGTACGACATGATAACGCGATTATCGCAGTTTGTTACCAATTTCTGTTCTTCTTGCAGAACTCATTCATTTGCATGATTTATCTTTACACGTGTAAGGAATACGAGTGTAAGATACATAGCTGAAACTTTTAGATTATAGATGAAATTTGAAAAAGTTGATGTTAACTTTAATTAATAACCTAAATCATCGACTGCACGTATTTCTCCACAGTCGTCGAGTCAGGAGAAAATCGAGTCGAAAGGAGCGAGGTACTGTCTTATTTCTGACCTAATAAACTCGTTAATCGTCGAAAAGAATGTCTTTTTAATTGCTCTTCGCCATCCTCGATTTCCATAATTGTTGTCCTTATTTTTATTCCAAAGTCACTGAATTCGAACGTCCCGAACGCAGAGTTCGTCCGGCGAGCATCCATTTAATTCGCGCTTGGAGAATAATTTAAAAACCGTAAAATTCTAACGAGCCTCGAACCGCGTGGGCGGCACTGCGCGCCGGAAAACAGGCTTTGAGACCAGCCGGCAGAAGAAGGCCCCCGACCTCTCCTAAATTTGGATGTATCGAGATACGCGATCGCCACGTTGGTTTTCTAAATTCTCCCGGCGCGGTTCTTTGTAGTCCCGTCCTCGACTCGTATATTTTTGGAGTGTTCTATGCCTCTCGTAATCTTCGGTAGGCCCTATCAAGCTATTGACGCAAGTAACCATCGCCATTTTGTACATTCCCGATACCCTATCGAGGCGAGCGCGTTTTCTTCGCTCCGAAGATTCAATTCAGAAGATACCGAGACGCGTCCTTCGGTTTCGCTCTATTAACGTTCAAACGAAGATCGAAAATAACTCGATCCCCGAGTTTTTCCGTTCGATTCGCGGCGACCGAACACGAAACACACTCGTGAGTGCGGGCAACCGACGAATAATTGCTTCTCTGAAAGATAAAGCTCTGTTACCACGGATTTTTCCTGTCCCCGCCTCATATCTCGGCTTCTCGTTATCCGCTGCCAGTGCTCGTACCCGCTTGTGAATGGCGTACAGAACCTCCTTTCTGTCTCCCATCCCGCCTCCCGCGCCCGCTCCTTTTCTTTTTCCCTCTTTCGTTCGCGGCGTGCCGTCCGCCATTTCCGTCTCTCCGCGGAGAACCGCGCGCCGCGAACAGAAAAAGAGGAGGAACGCGCCGGGAGCTGGTTCGGAGCGGGACGGCGCGCAGTCAGCCGGGCGAACAGACGAATTAAAGCGCACGGAGGACAATTAAAAGCGAAGCTCTCGGTCACGACAAAATTTCTAATTGCACGGCCGCGCGAGAGTTTCAACGGAAAGTGTACCGTGCCGCCATTACGGCGGAATTTTACACCCAATACACTATATCAATCCGCTTAACACTTTACCCACCGGGATTCGAATAATCCGGTTTTCGACGTCGGCGCTTATCTACCGGGATCTAGAACATCGAATTTCCAACGCCAACGCTCGTCGATCGGAATTTTTCGAAACTAGTGTTTATTGAATTAACCCGTTGCATTGATTCGCCGAGTCTCGCTATAACTTCGAACCAGACATGAATTACACGAAAGAACTACAATTGTAGGCCGGGTTTTGCCCGGCTAAATGGTAACGCAAGGGGTTAACAATATATCAATTATGTTATTAATATTATTATGAATCAAACTGATACGTGGGCCGGTATTAGCGACGTTTATTCATTTTAATAAATGGATAAGTAAAGTGTTAAAATTACTTCCTTGTCCATTAGTTTTTACGAACGAGGATAGAGGAAGATCGAACTAAAATCGAACTGGGATTCATCATGTAAATGTATACATTACAAACGATTGAATAATATTTGGTCGAACCGAGAGTGGATCGAGAATTGATTGATAATGTTTATTGAGTCTTGGTTTTCCTCTTACATTTGAATTTCGCGCCACGCCGCGTGGAGGGGCCGGATTTTCGGCGATGGCGGGACGCGTGAGAAATGGCTCCTCCCCGTAGCATCTTCTGGCGTGCAGGATGTTGCTGGTGTATCGATTATAATTGTATCGCTGTTCTTATTACAGAGTAAGATTGCTTCCATTAATTTGAAAGATGTTAAACAGAATCATTCGAACCATGGATTTTATCAAAGTTAATTAAAAATGTTTCGGTATCTTAAACGTAGCGAAAGTATACAAAATGGATCTGTTAATTACCTGGTTCTTAAACAGGTTTATAATTTTGTATCTCGAAGTGAAGATCTCGCGTAGTTTGTACTTTTGAGTTTCTCCCGTGGCGATGGAAGTAGTTTGCGTGATAATGTACAGTAAATCTGGGAGGGTTAAATATACATATGTTATCTCGACGAATGG